TGAGTCTGTGGGGTGACACTTTGACCAGTTGAAAGTATATATTCGGAGCATTTCTCCCCAACAACCCTTCTCCCACAACATTGTGTGTGCTTTACTGTCTCATATATAGCTCTCTTAAATATTAACTAACCGAATTGAGGCATTAAGTACGTAACATACAAAAGATTCTCCCTGTAAGCTACGTAAATCCATTATTCCCCTGTGCTACTACAAGAGGAAGCCCAAACTAAACTAACTTTCTTTATTAAATATTTATGTATTAATTACATAACTCTATCGTTTCTAAATTGTTTTCTCTTGTGGTGCAGAAATGCAACCCTTATTGGTCCAGCGTTACTACAGGTGGAAACCTAAAATTAGTCAGCTTTATTTAAATATACTAGATATCGTATAGATTTGTTGGTTTCTAAACTGATCAAATCACAAACCAGTGTCACATCTTGTAGCAAGTTTGGCAACAAGCCGTCAACAAGTTGTGTTCGCACTGCTTGATTTCTAGTTGTCAACAACTTCGGGACAAGCTGTTAACAACTTGTGACAACCTTGTTGATAATATCAGACTTGTTGCAAAGTTGCTCCAACAAGTCCGATACAGTCATGATATAACAGTATTGTTACAACCTTGTGTCACCAATCTTGTAACATTCTTGTTATACACACGTATAAAGACGCACAAGTTGTTGCAAGTCTGCAAACAAGTTGTTACCTTGCACAACCTTGCAACAAGTCTGAAAATATCAACAAGCTTGTTACAAGCTGTTAACAGCTTGTTGCAAACTTGTTGATAACTTGGGACAAGCAGTGCGAACACAACTTGTTGACGGCTTGTCGGCAGACTTGCTACAAGATGTGAGATTTTTGCGTGTGCATGTCATGACTGTATCAAACTTTTTAAAAACAGCCTTGTAACAAGTCTGGTAATACCACGCATCAAGTTTGTTACAAGTTGTTCACAGCTTGTTCCAAACTTGTTGCAACAGCTAGGAACAACTGCAGTGCGAATATCAGTTGACAGCTTGTCAGGAACAGATTTGTAACAACTTGTTTGCAGACCTGTAACGACTCGTGCGTCTATACGTGTGTGCGGTATAGTGCGCGCAATAACCATTGTAAAGCCAGCAGCCTTTTGCAAATGACAACATACAAAAATCGTGAATATACCACAAACAGAACATTTGCTTAACTTTGCCACAATCACAAGAATTTTCACGTCTTTCTAGCTCGGCTGTGCTGTCGCTAACTGTCCAACGAACAAAAATTGCAAAGAGACAACGTCATATCCATTTTACTACTGCCAAGATCCGGATCCAGATGGTAAGTGAAGTTAGTCGACTACGTTACTCCTAGCTTCGATACTTCACAGCTAGCTTAAAAAGAATACGTTTTACTATTGTTCATTCAAAAGAATTCTCAAATTTCTGGTCAATTGACTGCCAGATAACGGTGAAATCAATCATATCAAAAACACTTTTCGAATTTGCTTAAGTGCACGAGCGAAATCGACGTGGACAATGTAGTCATCGTAAATATATGAAATCCTTTCCATTTAAGATGGTCCTAAGTTGAAAACAGTGTAGTTGTGACGCAATTATCATATATTTGTTCCACCCATGTGCCGCTCTATATGTAGGAGAAACTTGTTTTGAGAAAGTTACTCCTTGGTCTAGACAGAGCGCGTTTACCGTTATTACTGCTTAAGGAATATTTACTGTTTTCACATTTAGCGAAAAAATCTTGAACATATGAAGGTAGTCTGCCCTTTAAAGCTTTGAATGTCATGACAGTTTCTCCTCTCTTTAAAGTATCTTCAATGGGTTAATTAACGTTCCCATGTAGATTTTCTAATATTTAGGTGAAACGAACATCGTATGTTTCGCCAGTAATAATAGGTTAAATATTTTTCCATCATTCTTTTCTTAGATAATTTTGATTTAAAGTTTCCCTCGGCTAAGAAACATACAGCGACAGGAAAGATGTCAACTACTTCGGATGAAGTGTCCATCTGCTTTTGGTGCAAGACTAGTGATCTTAAATCACCATTCGTCAGTTATAAAAACAACGGGAACCCACCTAGTGTGTTGACTTTAGTCTATTTAGATGGATCCGTTTTCTTGCAAATAAATAAGCCTATCGCGTGAGTAGCTATATATAATACATTTTTTTGTGGAAACACCACGTAAATTTATTACTGCAAAAACCGAAGCTTTCGATCCGTAAGCCCGAATCTTCACACTGCTAATAAGGTTAATAATCGAAAGCTTTGCAGTGGTAAATTTACGTGGTGTTTCCACAAACAAAAGTATTATAAATACTAATTTATATTATCAAATCAATAATCCATTACTCAATTAATAATTATGAAATCAGCAATCGAATACTCAATTAATAATTATCAAATCAATAATCCAATACTCAATTAATAATTATATCAAATCAATAATCCAATACTCAATTAACAATTATCAAATCAATAATCCAATCTCAATCAATAATTGTCAAATCAATAATCCAATACTCAATTAATAATTATCAAATCAATAATCCAATACTCAATTAATAATTATCAAATCAATAATCCAATACTCAATTAACAATTATCAAATCAATAATCCAATACTCAATCAATAATTGTCAAATCAATAATCCAATACTCAATTAATAATTATCAAATCAATAATCCAATACTCAATTAATAATTATCAAATCAATAATCCAATACTCAATTAAAAATTATCAAATCAATAATCCAATACTCAATTAACAAGTATCAAATCAATAATCCAATACTCAATTAATAATTATCAAATCAATAATCAAATACTCAATTAATAATTATCAAATTAAGAATCCAATACTCAATTATTAAATACCAAATTAATAATCCAAATACTCAGTTATTAATTACCAAATTTGTGTGATGATTATAAAGATACGAAGCTACCTTTGAAATATCTCCTATTCATGATGACAAATGGCATCACATATGTACCACGTGGAACAGCAGCAGTGGGCACGTGAACATTTATGTTGATGGCGCACTGCGAAATTACCCTACGGGTACCTCTTACTTCAAAGATGAAAAAATTGTTTTCAACGGGACGTTTACGATTGGGAACTTCAAATACGCCACGATGGACATGAGTAATTTTGCTGGAAAATTGAGTCAGTTTAATATCTGGGACTACGTGCTGCCTAGCAAAGAAATAAAAGCGATCGCAAAAAACTGTACCATGAGTCATGCTGCTGGTGGCAATGTTTTGAAGTGGCGACGAGATTTCGCGCCAACACCGGCGGATAGCGCTGACCCCCGAGATTGCAGCGAACGAGGTGCGTGCATGCAGTGAATGAGTGAATGTCTTTGAACAATGTCGTTTCCAGGTCATCAATAGAGACCTTATGGCAACGGCTACCAATAGATCATTGAAAATAATTGAGTAATTACAGTATATGAATACTTTAGACATTGTCCTCGCTCTGTTTACAACGCCAAATCACAGATTTTCACGTCTTGATACAACGACTGCATTTCAAGCCGCGACAAGTGCAACTTCAAACTGGGTTTAGCAGAACTCTTCATAATAAAACCCATGTCTTCAACTTCTAAAACTGTATTAAATTCATACGATTGATAATATACGACAAATTATCTTTTCTACCATTTATTTGAAGGAGTTTGTTTTGGCCGTCGTCGTCGCGTTGCCGTCCTAAAATCGTAAGGTCTCTACTGATTTTGTTTACACGCGTAAAAACTCGTTATGCATTTTGTGACGTAGAAACCATGACAGTTACGCAGAACAACATTTCCTATTATTCCTAAAGGCCCATTTCCCCTCAAGAAATTTTCCACGGACAGAATGTTTTCCGAAAATATCATTGTTAAAAGTTGAAAATGTTCAACCTCAAAAATGCACCACTTTCGGCCCAAATGTGGTGTACATTTTCTCTCGCGTAATACAAATTAACACAAAATTGGCAGATTTCGCAGGGCTATATTTTCCGCGTTTTACAACATTTCGCGGCCAAATTTTGCAATTTTACTAATTTTAACATATTCTTTCTAGCTGTATTGATGGATTTTGTTTTTCTTGAATTGCCTAGCTCAAAATTTATTCTATATAGCTGGAATTGCCTACTCAATTATGGTTGTCATAAAATATGTTACGATGTGTAATCTTATTTTTTAATAGATATGCCGATCAAGAGCGTCGATTCTGATTTGCATTTTTCTGGTAAAACAAATACAACATATTCTAGTCATAAGCAGATGCCAAAACTTGATGCATTCACGATAAGTTGGTGGCTGAAAACGTCATGGATTCCTACAGCGGACTCGCAATTAATGGCAATCGCGAGTTTTATTCTTGTGTCAGAACCGCTGCAAAAATATTTACTCGTTGCTATCCGAGGCACATTCGAAATACATTTTGAAATGGCTGGCGCACAAAGGTAGGTAGAGTGTTGCAATACCATATGTGTGTACATTGGCGTAGAAATCTCGTAGCAAGTCTGCCAACAAGCCATCAACATGTTGTGTTCGCACTGCTTGTCCCAAGTTGGGAAAAAGTTCGAAACAAGCTGCTAACAACTTGTAACAACATTGTTGATATTATCAGACTTGTTGCAAGGTTGTTCCAACAAGTCCGATACAGTCATGATATAACGATATTGTTACAACCTTGTGTCGTCAACCTTGTAACATTCTTGTTATATCATGACTGTATCAGATTTGTTAGAACAACTTTGAAAACAAATCTGATAATGCCATCAAGCTTGTAACAAGTTTGGAACAAGCTGTTAACAACTTTACAACAACTGGGAACAAGCAGTGCGAACACAACTTGTTGACAGCTTGTGAACAAATTTGTAACAACTTGTTTGCAGTTGACAAGTTGTTGGAACAGCATCGTTACAAGTTTGCTGCAGATTGGTTACAGCCATTGAACTATAAGTAAACAGGAGCGATAAGTTGGCCGCCATCTTTAAAGCCGGCAGCGTGAGTTTAAAAATCGTTAATATTTTCTCACTCTTACTTCTTTCAAGGAATTTATATTTATCCCAAAACACACTTTGACAACACAGTTTTTATGTAAGGCACATAAAATAAGCAAATGTTTAACTGCCAAAATATGACACGAACAAAACGAGACTCGGCACAAAAGTTAAAACCAAGCGAAAATTTCTGTTTTTTCTGACTTAGACTTTCTAGAAAGAATTCAGAGACAATTTTATACAGTTTATGTAGAACGTACTTTAATAAGTTAAAATTAAAAATTAAATGAGTAAAAAACTAAAAATACTTCGTGAAAAATTTTGTGTATTTATTTTCGTATAAATACCTGCGAACAGGATATACTTGAGCGCCCGAAATTTGGCTTCACCCAACCATAGGCCTTTTTCATAGGAGTTACTTATATAGTTCAATGATTACAACCTGTGCGTTCTTGCCATGCATAGATAGTTTTTGCGCGCATGATGGCGAAACCTATATCTATTTCTGTGAATTTTGTTTTCTTACATTCCATCTTATCCGAAACGATATACGTTGTAAATGGCTTGTGAAATGTCTTGATGAGAACATTCGTATTTACTGGCTTCAACAATTTGAAATAAATAAATTATATTTGGTAAGGAAATTAAACTAAAAGTTCATGTAAATCAGCATGATTCTGTATCAGAAGATTTCTTAGATGAAATGAGAAGATTTCTATAGACGAAATTTTGATCTAAACAAGAAGAACGAAACCATTACCATAGCTGGAAAGAGCATCTTAAAATGAGTAAAATTGCAAAGTTTAATGGCGAAATGTTGTAAAATGAGGAAAATATAGCCCTGTGAAGTTCGCAAATTTTGTATATATTTGTATTACGCGCGGGAAAAATAACCGAAAGTGGTTACTTTTACCGCGCGTAATACAAATATATACCAAATTTTGCGAACTTTGCAGGACTATATTTTCTTCATTTTATAACATTTTGCAACCAAACTTTGCAGTTTAAATGCCCTGTCACACTATTGCGTATCGTACTAGCGTATGCCAGCGTATGAAAAATATCACTCATACGCCGGTATACGCTGACATACGCTAGGGGTACGTTAGGCATAGGTTGTATACGTTTCAAGCACGGTCGCATACGGTGGCATACGCTGGCATACGGCGAGGCAGAAAATATTTTTTGAGCATGTTCAAAAATTTTGTGCGTATCGGACGTATGCTTCATACGATAGGCATACTCTAGGCACACGCTGAATACGCCTGAGGTACGCCAGATGTACGGTACTCATACGCTGGCATTTCAAAGGATTTTTGTGCGAATGAAAATTATTTCCGGATTAATTTTCATACGCTTCTCATACGTTTCTCTCATACGCAATAGTGTGACAGGGCCTTTACTCATTCTAAGACGCGCTTTCTAGCTGTAGTGTTGGATTTCCTTCTTCTTCCCTAGATCAAAATTTATTCTGTAACTGGAATCACCCCATTATTAATGAATTTCACAACTTTATTTAATATTATGTAGCTTTCATAAACTTCCCCCAATCAACGACGATCGTTGGCACCACATGGCAATCACGTGGGAAACGTTTGACGGACAATGGAATTTTTTCTTGGACGGCGTGCATCGTTCTAGTATTGACGAATTTCAATTTGGTCATGAAGTTCCGCCGTCGCTTTTGGTAATTGGGCAAAACGGAAATATAAATGGGCCCGCGTATTCGTCTGATGACGAGCTACAGGGAAGCCTTAGCCGTTTCAATATTTGGGACAGTCGTTTGTCCGTTGAACTCATTGTTGCACTCGCAAAGGATCCTGGTCATGACGTGGGGAACGTGAATTCTTGGAGGAATCTGCAATCATTGAAATCTTACGTCAATCGTACTGAGCCTTCAACTGTTGTAAGCAGCGGTAAGTTTGCGAAAGTGTCAACTAAAGTTCTGAATTCGGACTACACACGGAAAAACGCACAAGTTGTAACAAACCTGTAGCAATTCTGTTCCAACAGCTTGCCAACAGGATATGTGTTTGGACTTCTTGTTCCCAGCTTGTTGACAAGTTGTTAACGGCAAGTTGGCAACTTGCTACAAGGTTGTTGAGCTCAACAGACTTGTTACAAGTTGTTCCAACAACTTGTTGCCGTCTTGAAATTCAACAATGTGTCAACCAGGTTGTTCCAGCAAGCCCGATGCAGTAATGACGTAACAATATTGTTACAGCCTTGTGTAGTCAATCTTGTAACATTCTTGTTATACCATGACTGTATCAGACATGTTAGAACAACCTTGTAACAAGTCTGATAATGCCATCAAGCTTGTTACAAGTTGTTAACAGCTTGTTCCAAACTTGTTGGAAAAACTGCAAACAAACAGTGCAAATACAACTTGTCGATAATTTTGTGAACAGATTTGTAACAACTTGTTTGCAGACTTGTAACAACTTGTGCGTTTTTACGTGTTTAGTAGAAAACAGGCTTTAGGGAAGATTTGACAAACTCTCTGGGGTCCGGGATCATATTCTCTCCCGAAAATGTTGAAATGAAAAGTCTCTGAAATGACTTTTTCTCCGCCCAGTTAGAAGACCTCTTTTATTGAGAGGGGGCGTGGGTTAAGCCCTCTCACTTCTACTGTTGACACTGTTGGGGCCTATAGCGCTCTCCCTAGCCCCCTTCCTCCCCATGCATCCGTCGTCCAATTTCTCCGCCTATTCTGCATAGATTCTATTCTATTCAAATGATTTCTAATTATATGTTATATTTTATTTCTATATAGCTGGGAAGTCGAACGTCGCTTTCACATTCACACATTGGACTAAAAATAACTACGCACTTATACCGTATAGCGGTGCGGAAATTGCGCAATTGACAGTTTGTACTTGGCTTGATCTGTCCTACACCGACGAATATTCACCCAGTCTTCTATCTTATTCATCTACGACACCGAATGACTTGTTTATTATGTTCCATGTTTACAACATAGACGGCCTAGTCATGGGCATCAATGATCAACCATACGGGTAAGAACAATATAGGAGCTTTTTCTACGAAGGCGGGATGGCGCTTTACACCGGATTTTTCAAGCTTTCAAAATTTGTCCGGACTGTTGATGGGTGAAATACTACCTCAAAAACTCATTAATAATTCATGAGGAAATCATAAGCGTGGCGTGTCTTTATATGCGATAAAACACGCTTCAAATTTCAGCTTGTATTTTCTCAGCTAATACAAAGTTATTTTGGAAAATTATTTCGCCAATGCCGTGATCTAATTGAGACGTTTTTGAAGCTGTTTAATAAACTCGTAGTTCGTGTTTTATCACATATAAAACACTCCGCTACGCGTCGTGTTTTATATGTGATAAAACACTCCTACTCGTTTATTAAACAGTACTTAAAACACGAGTAGGAGTGTTTTATCAGATATAAAACGCGAGGCGCAGCCGCGAGCTTAACTGAATACGACTTCAAAAGAATACTAATTAGGATGAACCATTATATAATCATACTAATGAGGATGAACAATTATATAATGCCACATGCTTTATCAGATATAAAGTCACTCCACGTGACATATTATGGCTGACATGATTTGCCACAAGGTTTATGAATAATTTTTAATGAGTATTTTATCTCTTTATAATGGACTTGTATTATGTTTGCATATACCGCCGGATTAAAGACCCGTTTACACTACGCTCAATTTTTGGTACGGCACGGATAAAATTGGTACCCGTACCACTTTTTTGGTTCTTGGACTACCTATTTAGCTAAGTCCCGTTTACACTACGCTCAATTTTTGGTACCGTACCACTTTTTGGTTCTTGGACTACCTGAATAGGTAGTCCAAGAACCAAAAAAGTGGTACGGGTACCAATTTTATCCGTGCCGTACCAAAAATTGAGCGTAGTGTAAACGGGGCTTAAGTTGTTGCTGTCGTTGTGGTATCGATCAGGGTCGATCAGTTATATCAATGAAAGGCAAATTTTGGGAAACTTGAAAAATCACTATTTTTTGGGTAGTGCTACATGCGTAAAACTCACAACTTGTGAACAAAATGTGTTCGTAACAGGCTTGTTTCCAGTTGTTAACCAGTCCGGAACAAGTTGTTATATCCTTGTATACATGTGTAAATCTCACGTCTTGTAGCAAGTCTACCAACGAGCCGTCAACAAGTTGTGTTCGCACTGCTTGTCCCAAGTTGTCAACAAGTTTGGAACAAGCTATTGACACCTTGTAACAACAACCTTCTTGATATTATCAGACTTGTTGCAAGGTTGTTCCGACAAGTCCGATACAGTCATAATATAACGATGTTGTTACAATCTTGTGTGACATTTCCGTTATATCGTCACTGTATCAGACTTGTTAGAACAACTTTCCTGCAAGTCTGACAATGCCATCAAGCTTGTTACAAGTTGTTAACAGCTTGTTTCAAACTTGTTACAACAACTGGGAACAAGCAGTGCGAACACAACTTGTCGACAGCTTGTGAACAGATTTGTAACAACTTTTTTGCAGACCTCAGGGTAACAACTTGTACATTCTTGCGTGCATGTGAATCATTCAAATTCTTCCTTGCCTTTTAGACTGGGCAGCGATTCAGCAGTAAATAATAAACTATGGCGTCACCTTTGCGTAAGATGGAACGGTGACCTTGGCGAAGTAAATTGGTATTTAGAGGGTGTTGAACGAAACTCCAAAACTGATCTACCCAAAAAGCAAACTCTGACTGCCCCAGGGATATGGGTTTTTACAAACGAGCAAGACTCTCATGGCGGGGGATTTAGCGGCAAACAAAGTTTTAAGAAATCATTGGCTCAGATGAATGTCTGGAATTATGTATTGCCGGTGCAAGCCATGAAGGCTTTGGCGTACGGTGGAACAAGCGTCGAGGGAAATCTGTTTCGATGGAGCGATATTATCGCCAATTATAATCCTAAAGGCTATTTTGTTGCAAGTCCTTTCCATCTTTACATGCCAGGTAATACACTGTTATGTTATAAATTGGACAAAAATGAAAGAAATCTTTAAGCCAATATGTTATACACGTAAAAACGCACAAGTTGTTATAAGTCTGCAAACAAGTTGTTACAAATCTGTTCACAAGCTGTCGACAAGTCTTGTTCGCACTGCTTATTCCCAGTTGTTGTAACAAGTTTGGAACAAGCCGTTAACAACCTGTAACAAGCTTGATGGCATCATCAGACTTGTTAAAAAGTTGCTCTAACAAGCCTGATACAGTCATAATACAACAAGAATGTTACAAGGTTGACGACACAAGGTTGAAACAATATTGTTACATCATGACTGTATCGGGCTTGTTGGAACAACCTTGCAACAAGTCTGATAATATCAACAATGTTGGTACATCTTGTTTACAGCTTTTTCCTAACTTGTTGACAACTTGGGACAAGCAGTGCGAACACAACTTGATTACGACTTGTTGGCAGACTTGTTACAGGATGTGAGATTTTTGCGTGTGTACAAGAAGCACCTGCATGCCCAACCAAAAATATTGTATTGGTCGGGCAGTTTAAGTACTGTTTACTGGTTTACATTGTATTGAAACGGTTTTTGCTTCGTTCCCTAAAGGTTATGGCTCAAGTGTAAACAGCTTCATCCCCCGTCCTTTTATCGCCTTCATCTTCAGTTTCTTGTATATATTTACAAAAGGCAAAAACATTGCAGACGTCATTTGAAAGAGTGAAGAAGCTGTACTCGTAAATAATATTAGAATAGCAAGTTGTTGTTTGCTAGACGCCATCTTGAATCACACGTCACGAATTGAACCCAAATTGCTACGATTGGTGCTTACATTACAATGATTGAATGACAGCGTTGCAAAAACCAATTAAACACGTACAGGGGCGTATCTATAGCCTCATCTGCAAGGAGGGGTGCAGGTTTTCCACGGGGTGATGCATGAGGGAGCCTTACTGCCCACTTTCCTCTGCAGTCTGTAACGCTACTATCCCAACATTACCATTACATGAGATGGCCGAATCTGAATATTCGCCGTTCTGTTACGTTTTACATTAACTTTTGTTTATAAAGTTTATATCGTTTTTTTATAACGTATGCGTGACTGGACAGTTGCTGTAGCACAGTACAGTAAATTTGCTTGTTAAAGTACAGTATATATTTGAAAATATGGCTGTATAACAACCTTGACATGTTTACATATTTAACCATGATATTGAACTGATATATTATTTCTCGTGAGCTCACAAAAGAATTAAATCGTTTCGAGAAATCGACACGCGCTAACAGTAGAAGTTCCGCTAATCGCTATTCGAAAAGCAGAAAATGTATGGTCAAGCAGATTTTTGGGGGGTGCGTGGTGCTCGGCTTTACTGCTGTTAAACTTGATCTCCGTACTTTCATTTTGCAGACGGTGTTGTTCAAAAGAAACGGGATGAGTATTGCAACCAATCCTCCTGTCCTGCCGGCACGTTCTACGCCCGCATTGGACCACGCAGAAACTTTCACCCCCCTGGCATACAATGGCGATGTTACTGCAAGGACAACGTTGTATCCGATAAAAGCGTTAAGGTGGTCAGCGGTTACTATAATACCAGAGAAACGGAGCTGCTGGCGATTGTTTAAGAGGACAATTTTTTTGTATGTTATATTACACAAGCAAAATTAATCTCACATCTTGTAACAAGTTTGCCGGTCAACAAGCCGTCAACAAGTTGTGTTCGCACTGCTTGTCCCAAGTTGGCAACGTGTTTGGACCAAGCTGTTAACAACTTGTAAGAACCTTGTTGATATTATCAGGCTTGTCACAAGGTTGTTCCAACAAGTCCGATACAGTTATGATATATAGCAACATTGTTAAAACATGCGTCGTCAAGCTTGTAACATTCTTGTTATATCATGACTGTATCAGACTTGTTAGAAAACCTTGTGACAAGTCTGATAATGCCGTCAAGCTTGTTACAAGTTGTTAACAGCTTGTTCCAAACTTGTTACAACAACTGGGAACAAACAGTGCGAAGACAACTTGTCGACAGCTTGTGAAAAGAAATGTAACAACTTGTTTGCACACTAACCATTATAGTATTTAAATAGTACATAATATGCACTTGGTTAATTATGACTACAATCAAAATTTTTATCTTTTGATATGATTCTCCACCAGGAACAAACTTTGAAAGTTTGTTTAGTGCTGTAAAAATCTCACAACTTGTCAACAAGATGTGTTCGCAACAGGCTTGTAGCAAGCTTGTCAACAAGTTGTAACAATGTTGTTATTTTATCAAGTTGCTACAAGGTTGTCACTCACAATTTGTTGACAAATTTTTGAACTACAAAACGATAACAAGTTGTTGGAACAACTTGTAACAAGTCTGTTGAGCGCAACAACCTTGTAGCAAGTTGTCAACAAGCTGGGAACAAGCAGTGCGAACACATCCTGTTCACAAGCTGTTGGAACAGCATTCCTACAAGTCTGCTGCAGGTTTGTTACAACTTGTGCGTTTTTACGTGCTACTGGTCGACCGGGCATATTTTTGACCGCCCCACCCCCTAATTTGTTTCCTCCTTTAATAATTAATAATTAATAATTAATAATAATGTAATAATTAATTTATAAACTGTAGTATGTCTCATTATTAATGCGCATGCTTGGAGTATAGAATCGATATTTCCATTCATTTACAGTCGTGCCAATAGAAGTGTTTCGAAAAATGTTGACCAGTTCATTTCCTAACTTCTAGGAGTTCCTCTGAACAATTCCTCAACAATTTGATAAGTTCCTTAAAAAGTTCCTAACTTCCTGTTTCATTGACCAATCCGATTGCTCAAAAATAAAATATAAAATTTGATTGGTCAATGAAACAGGAAGTTAGGAACTTTTTAAGGAACTTATCAAATTGTTGAGGAACCGTTCAGAGGTGGTCCTTCAAGTTAGGAAATGAACTGGTCAACATTTTTCGGAACACTTCTATTGGCACGACTGTAAAGGCCATGTAAAGTCCGCTCTGCGCATATGTTGTGCGCAGGCCTACATTCCAATAGTCGGCACTCAACCATTGGAATGTTATTAATATTTCGTACCTTTCGAACTTTCTTGAATTGAATCTCTAGTCTGTATTCATTTACAAGCATAGCCAACCAGAAGAGTGTTATATATCTAATCATATTTTACAACTATAGCACTGAGTTCAAAATGTAAACAAAGCGTTTGTTTACATTACGGACTTTACATCACCTTTATTCTTTAATTAAATTAAGTAAGTTTTTTATGATAATAATGTAAGTTTTTAAAATTCATTAAAATTGTATTAACGACCATTATTTGCAACGTGGCATCTCGTTTCATTTAAGGTTACAGAACACCTTTGAGTGTCAATTTTGCCTAAATTTTTTTATTGGTTCCCATGAAAGCATTAGACTAGTTCTTCTATCTGACCAAGTCTGAACGAAAAATGTTGAAACCTCGCAGAGTTATTTAATAAAATACGTTTCGCTTGCAATAAGAAAAACATTGAAAATGTAATATTCAAATTCAGCTTCTTGCAAATACAGTCACAACACATCATGTGTCGCTGGGAAATGTTCGAAGCTAAATGAAAGCGACTGGGATAAAATTACACAGGTAGTTTAATTAATCATAGCATCAAGTTTACTTCACTAGAGTACTAAATGTTCGCTTTCATCACTGGGATAGTAAAAAACCCCGTTGCTATTCAGGGCCGCCGAGAGGTTGGCGGGTCAGTGTACCATTTTAGGGGTAAAAAAAATTTTCCGGAGTACAAAATTTTTCCGGACGAGTACGTTACAACTGCTTTCGCGGGACTTTATCTCATTTTTTATGCCAAAATTCGGTACTTAGCCCAAGAAAACAGATATCTTGTCCTTTGCGTAGAAAAATTTAACACACAAAAAAGGCTGGGGCCCAACAAAAATTTTTCAGGGGCCCCCAAGCAACTCGGGGCCCGGGGCAATTTGCCCCCCCCCCTGCCCCCCCTCTCTGCGGCCCTGTTGCTATTACCCATGCTTCATTTAACTTGCTTAATTTAAACAAATTCAGGACTACTTTTTTTAAAACCATGCTTGTTCTATTTCTTGCCAGCGAAAATCGCGGATTTCGCAGCGTGACGTAATTGAGGTAATTCCTACGTCAGCCAGTGGCGAGCTAGCCATAGAACAGGTCATGCTATGGACATTTTTAATGATTTGCATTATTCAAACCGTTAGAAAGTTAGAAACGTATTCTTTTTAAAGGAAATTGGCAATAAAAAATTAGTTTAGATCATTTAAAAGAACTCTTATATTAAACACTACTACAGATTGTTTATATCTTGCTTACTTTTCAAAATATTTCGACTGAAAAAAGTGAGCCGTTTGCCATCCAACATTTTTCGGAACACTTCTATTGGCATGACTGTAAAGGCCACGGCGTTCTGTGGCTAAAAAGTATATCAAATTTCACTATACTTTTAGCCACGGCGGTCTGTGGCTGATAAGTATACAAGATTTAACTATACTTTTTAGCAACGGCGGTCTGTGGCTAAAAAGTGTACCAGATTTCACTATACTTTTTAGCCACGGTGTTCTGTGGCTAAAAAAAGTATATCAGATTTCACTATACTTTTAGCCACGGCGTTCTGTGGCTAAAAAGTGTACCAAATTTCAGTATACTTTTTAGCCACGGCGTTCTGTGGCTGATAAGTATACAAGATTTAACTATACTTTTTAGCCACGGCGTTCTGTGGCTAAAAAGTATATCAGATTTCACTATACTTTTAGCCACGGCGTTCTGTGGCTAAAAAGTACCAAATTTCAGTATACTTTTTAGCCACGGCGTTCTGTGGCTGATAAGTATACAAGATTTAACTATACTTTTTAGCCACGGCGTTCTGTGGCTAAAAAGTATATCAGATTTCACTATACTTTTAGCCACGGCGTTCTGTGGCTAAAAAGTACCAAATTTCAGTATACTTTTTAGCCACGGCGTTCTGTGGCTGATAAGTATACAAGATTTAACTATACTTTTTAGCCACGGCGTTCTGTGGCTAAAAAGTATATCAGATTTCACTATACTTTTAGCCACGGCGTTCTGTGGCTAAAAAGTACCAAATTTCAGTATACTTTTTAGCCACGGCGTTCTGTGGCTGATAAGTATACAAGATTTAACTATACTTTTTAGCCACGGCGTTCTGTGGCTAAAAAGTATATCAGATTTCACTATACTTTTAGCCACGGCGTTCTGTGGCTAAAAAGTACCAAATTTCAGTATACTTTTTAGCCACGGCGTTCTGTGGCTGATAAGTATACAAGATTTAACTATACTTTTTAGCCACGGCGTTCTGTGGCTAAAAAGTATATCAGATTTCACTATACTTTTAGCCACGGCGTTCTGTGGCTAAAAAGTATATCAGATTTCACTATACTTTTAGC